AGAATTTTTGCATCTATGTTCATCAGCGATATTGGCCTGTAGTTCTCCTTTTTTGTGCTGTCCTTGTCAGGCTTTGGTATCAGCATGATATTGGCCTCGTAGAATACGTTAGGACGTGTTTCATCCTCCCTAATTTTTTGGAATAGCTTGAAAAGGATAGGTGTTAAATCCTCTCTGAAAGTTTGGTAGAATTCCCCAGGAAAACCATCTGGTCCTGGGGTTTTATTCTTTGGGATGCTTTTGATTGCTGTTTCAATCTCTTTCCTTGTGATTGGTCTGTTTAAATTGTCTGCTTCTTCTTGACTAAGCTTTGGGAGATTGTAGGAGTCCAAGAATTTATCCATTTCCTCTAGGTTATCCATTTTGTTGGCATATAGTTTTTTGTAGTATTCTCTTATAATCTCTTGTATTTCTTCAGAGTCTGTTGTTATTTCTCCTCTTTCAATTCTGATTTTGTTTATTTGAGCTTTCTCTCTTTTTTTCTTTGTAAGTCTGGCTAGGAATTTGTCAATTTTATTTATCTTCTCAAAGAACCAGCTCTTTGTTTCATTGATCCTTTCTACTGCCTTTTTTGTTTCAATAGCATTTATTTCTGCTCTGATTTTTATTACTTCTCTCCTTCTGCTGACTTTGGGCTTTGTTCTTCTTTCTCTAATTCAGTTAGGTGTAGTTTAAGATTGCTTATTTGGGATTTTTCTTGTTTGTTAAGATGTGCCTGTATTGTGATGAATTTTCCTCTTAATACATCTTTTGCTGCATCCCATATGAGTTGGTATGGCATGTTATCATTTTCATTTGTTTCCAGGTATTTTTTGATTTCTTCAATTTCTTCAATGATCCATTGCTTGTTCAATAGTGTATTATTTAGTCTCCAAATCCTTGTGCATTTCTCAGCTTTTTTCTTGTAATTAATTTCTAGCTTTACAGCATTATGATTGGAGAAGATGCTTGTTATTATTTCAAGTTTTTTAAATTTGTAGAGGCTTGCCTTGTTTCCCATCATATGGTCTATCCTTGTGAATGTTCCATGCGCGCTTGAGAAGAATGTGTATTCTGCTGTTTTTGGATGAAGTGTTCTATATATGTCTATTAAGTCCAACTGTTTTAGCTTTTTGTTTAGCTCCACTGTTTCTTTGTTGATTTTCTGTCTGGATGATCTGTCCAATGATGTGAGTGGGGTGTTGAGGTCCCCTACTATTATTGCGTTATTTTTAATATCTTCTTTTAGTTTTGTTAATAGTTGCTTTATGAACTTTGGTGCTCCTGTCTTGGCCGCATAGATATTTATAAGCATTATTTCTTCTTGATGAAGTATCCATTTGATCATTATATATTGGCCCCCTGTGTCTCTCTATACCTGCCTTATCTTGAAGTCTGTTTTGTCTGATATAAGTATTGCGACACCTGCTTTCTTTTGTTTGCTATTAGCTTGGAGTATTGTCTTCCACCTCTTCACTCTGAGCCTGTGTTTGTCCTTGGAGCTGAGGTTTGTTTCCCGGAGGCAACAAATTGTTGGATCTTGCTCTTTAATCCATTTTGCCACTCTGTGTCTTTTTATTGGAGAGTTCAGTCCGTTTACATTGAGGGTGAGTGTTGATGCATGAGGGCTTAATGCTGTCATTCTGTCGCTCGTTATCTGGTTTTCCTGTGTTTTCTTTGTTTCTCGTCCTGTGTGTTTTAGCCTGTCCATTGACTTCTGCAATTTCTTATGCTGGGTTTCTTAGATTTTTCCTTATTTATGTTTTGTGTCTCTGTTCTGTTTTTTAGTTTAGTGGCTACCCTGAGGTTTGTATTCAGAACCTCATGTATAACATAGTCCATTTTCTGGTGGTCTCTTACTTACTTAGCCTAGACTGTTTCAGTCCCTTTCCTCCTCCCCTCCTAAATTAGTATTTCCATGTCTTATTCCAACTTGTGCTGTCAGTTTGTGGTTAGAGTGATGATTGTCTTTGCTTTGGTGATTTCCTTCCCTTTATCCTAATGCTGTAGTTGCATATTTGCTCTCCTATTCCTATTCTATCTATTTGTCTCCCTACTCTGTGTTTTGTGACCACTCGTTCCCTTTTTTTCTTATTTCAGGTATAAGAACCTTCTTGAGGATTTCTTGTAGTGGAGGTCTTATGACTATGAAGTCCCTTCCTTTTGTTTGTCTGGAAAAGATTTAATTTCTCCCTCATATCTGAAGGATATTTTTGCTGGATAGAGTATTCCTGGCTGATGATTTTTATCCTTTAAAGTTTTGAATACGTCATTCCAATCTCTCCTAGCTTGTAAGGTTTCTGTAGAGAAATCCGCTGAAAGTCTGATAGGGGTTCCTTTGTAAGTTATTTTCTTCTGCCTTGCTGCCCTGAGTATTTCTTTGTCGTTCATTTTTGCCATTTTTACTACTATGTGCCTTGCAGTAGGTGTTTTTACATTGACAAATCTAGGAGATCTGAAAGCTTCCTCCACACACCTTTCTCTCCCAATCCCTAGATTTGGGAAGTTCTCTTCTATTATTTCATTGAGCACCCTTTCTGCTCCATTTTCCTTTTTGACGCACTCAGGAATTCCAATGATTCTTAAGTTGCATTTTCTCATTGAGTCAGCTATTTCTCGGAGATTTTTTTCAGTTTTTTTAATTCTTAGTTGTCTTTCTTCCTCTGTCTGGAGCCATTCATCGTGTCTATCTTTGATTATGCTAATTTGCTCCTCTATGGTGTCTACACGGGCATTCAGGGAGTCCGTATTCTGTTTTATCTGATCCATTGTGATTTTCATCTCTAGTATTTCTGATTGGTTCTTTTTTGTAGTTTCAATCTCTCGTGAACTAACTCCAGAACTCATTGAGTTGTCTCCCCATATTTCCCTTTACCTCATTGAGTGTTTTGATGATAGCTATTCTGAACTCATTTTCACTTAGTTTACTTATTTCCACGCCCTCAGGACCTACTTCTGTGTTTTCATTGTTTTCGTTGTGGACTGGAGCTTTTATAAATTGCTGGATGGTAGAGGAGCGGTTTTTGCTCACGATGCTGTTATTCACTTGCAGTTACAGCCTGTCACCAGTAGATGGGGGTCGAGAGCCATGCTTTCTGGGCCTGCCGCTTTCAGCTGTGATGGTGGTGAGCGCGGTTTGGGGGAGGAGGGGCACTTTCTCTTGCGCACTGACCTGGATTCGGATAAGCTCTTGCTGTCTCTTCTCCCAGGGCCCTGGCTTGCTGGGGCTCCCCCACACGAAACCTTTCCCCTGTTAGAAGGTTTCACTGCACAGGTGGTGGGAGTCCTGGACGATCCCTGGATGTGCGGCCCCTTCCCCTGCTCTTTCACACACCCTCAGCAGCGATCCCGGTCTCTAGGGGAGGGAGCGAAGTTCTCTCTTACCCCTTCCAGCTCCTCCGAGGGCGGCTCCAGCCTCTCCGCCCTCCGCTATGTGGCTGGTGTGGGTCTCTGATGATTTCAGTTATTAGGACCTTTTTTTTTGGTTGGAAAGTAATTGTTCTTTTTGGTTGTAATCTGGAGGGGAGAGAGTCCCGGGTGAGCTCAGACCACCATGTTGCTGACGTCACTCCCCTTTGCCTTCTTTTAGATTAAAGAAATTAGTTTCTTACAAGATTCTAATCTGTTTGCAAAGATTTTACAAAATTGTGTTGACTCTGGCAGTGTCATCGACCTTTTGAGAGGTAATCTCCCCTGGAACATGTCTCTTTATTTTACTTAGTTTTAGCAGATAAATTTGGGTTTTTCTTTAGTTTCTTACCTCTTTCTGAAGCAGTGCTTACTGTATCTTATTGATCTGTTTTCTAAACTGAGGTGCTTTGCATACTTTCTCCAGGTCCATTTCCTATGTAAGGTGATTCCATTCTAAGTTCAAAGAGGTCATACCTCTTCATCACCCAGATAATAATCTTTTTCTTTTTCTTTTTGAGGAAGATTAGCCCTGAGTTAACATCTGTCATCAATCCTCCTCTTTTTTGCTGAGGAAGAGTGGCCCTGAGCTAACATCCATGCCCATCTTCCTCCACTTTATATGTGGGATGCCTGCTACAGCATGGCTTACCAAGTGGTGCGTAGGTTCGAACCTGGGATCCAAACTGGCGAATCTCGGGCCACCAAAGTGGAACATGTGAGCTTAACTGGTGCGCCACCAGGCTGGCCCTCTAGATAATACTCTTTTAGTGAGGAACATTATTTCTGTGCTTTTTCATATGATGAATTTTGAAAATATACATGTGTATAGTTTATATAGTGCGTATCTTATCACGTGTATAGGAAAGTCATGCAGCATGGCCCCTATGGGAGGGCCTGCCGTCTGAGTGGGAGGCACTCATGTACACAGACCTAGAGGTTAGTCAGTGTGGTGCAGCCTGAGGGGCCAGGGATGAGAACTCAGGTGGGTGCTCATGAAGCTTGCTGGGGGCCAAGACCACGCTTTCTGCTTTTAAAACCTAACTCACAAGCAAGCTTGGATAGAAACAAAGATGAAAATTCAGGATCTCCAAGATGGAACGTAGGATTATGCTCACACATGGAAGACATTTTACTGAATTAATGCAACACAGGAAAGGAGGTGATTTGGAAGAAAAAGACAACCAATAAACCGTAGAGTATCGGGAATTTAACAGAGTTGGCCTGAGGTTCTTCAGTCGTACTGTGCAAGCTCCTGGGCTGTCCCTCTCAGGCTGTAATAGTGGAGCTGGTGTGGTGGTCAACATTATGTAAGCAAACAGGGCATGCTCTCTAACTGGGGCTCAGGGACCACCCTGTCCGTGTGTGGTGAGTGCAGTGCCAGGGGCTGATCAGGCACGCTGTTACTGTTCTCGAAGGCATTGGTGTTCTGTTTCAACAGAGCAACATTGATTGGTTGATGTTAAAGTTTATATTAGTTTGACCAACCTGGTATTGGCTTACCGGTGACAGTCTCTTACATTACCATGATACATGTGTTAAGTGAAAAATGTATATTAATTTCAACTAAATTGTGTAATTAGTTAACTGATTTTTGCATTTTTTTTTCCTAGTGAAGGGATTCTTTTATGTTTCACTACTTCTTGGCATTCTGAAAGAGGTAACTGGAAGTTCCTTGATGCAGAAAACAGATTCAGACAAAGAAGTTGCAACCCTGTTTGATACGGTCCAGAAAGTATTTCAGAAGATGCTGGAATGCATGGCATGGAGCTTCAGGAAGCAACCGGAAGAAGGCCTGCGGGTACTCGCACCTTCATAGGACAGGGTCATTAGACGTTAGATGGGCAGTGCTCCCTGAGGGACTAGGGTGTGTGGTATGTGTCCACTCACCTGCAGGCCCAGCCAACGCTTGCTTGTGCCATTGGCCTGTTGAGTGAGGTGCAGCGCAGTGCAGGAGAAAATTGCCGCGTGCCGTTCTTCAGGCGGCGTGTGCAGCCTTCTGCATTGCGTGGCGCACTCAGAGAGAAGGGGTTACCTGCATGGGGCATGCGGCCAGGAAGGGTCGAGAGCCCACTTTCCACTGTCAGCCGTGGGTCAGGTGTTCACAAGTTCACGTAAACAGCCAGCGGTGAGAGAACTTCTCCTCCTAGTAGGAGAGGAAGCAGAGAATGAATTGCATTGTCTTGTGAGTGCTCAATTGTTATTCAACAGAATTTTCCAAATAAAATATACTTTTTTTTTTAAGATTTTTTTTTTTCCTTTTTCTCCCCAAAGCCCCCTGGTACATAGTTGTATATTCTTAGTTGTGGGTCCTTCTAGTTGTGGTATGTGGGATGCCACCTCAGCATGGCTTGATGAACGGTGCCATGACTGCACGCAGGATTCAAACTAGCGAAACCCTGGGCCACTGTAGCGGAACGTGCGAACTTAACCACTTGGCCACGGGGCCGGCCCCTAAAATGTACTTTTGAGAAGGCTAAGTTTTTTTTTTTTTAAGGAAGATTAGCCCTGAGCTAACTGCTGCCAATCCTCCTCTTTTTGCTGAGGAAGACTGGTCCTGAGCTAACATCTGTACCCATCTTCCTCTACTTTATATTTGGGACGCCTGCCACAGCATGGCTTGATGAGCGGTGCCCTGTCCACACCTGGGATCTGAACCGGGGGACCCCTGGCCACCGAAGCAGAATGTGCGAACTTAACCACTGTCCCACCAGGCCAGCCCCAAGAATGCTAATTTTGATTATTTGTAAATGACAAAGACTTTGCCCAGATGAGATGTTATTTTCTGTTGCAGGTTGCCCTCCCATCACGTGTTAACCTTCTGCTGTTTGGAAGGTTAGGGCAAGGACCCGCAAGGGCCTGTGGTTCCTTTGCTGATTGAAAGCTGACGTGAAGTGGGGTATTGAGTAACCAAGTCATGTAAAAAGAGTTGACACGTGTGCCAGACTTGCTTTACTCATAAAATCATATTGTCATCAGAGAGGACCATTCTTTCTAAGTAGTAGTTTAAAAACATGAATGAGCTATTCTTTTTTAGTGAAGATATTTTTAAATGCTTAAATGGGAGAGTGTTTATGAAATATTGAAAACTTTCAATTTTATTCTGTTCTTCGCTGATAGAGATAATTGAAGTTTGTTGGCTGTATTTTCTGTAGTCTAGTTTACATTTGAGTTAATATGAAATGTTTCAGTTTTTGGATGAGTTGGTTCAAGCGTCTGTAATTTGTTTATGTAATGTAATTTGTGCCAAAATCTTTTATTTTCTCACCATTGGCTATGTAACTTCATTCAGAACACATGGCCTCATAGTTGATGTCTTCTCTTAATGTCAGTGATATTTCTTTATCTTTATCTTTCTTTCTTTTTTCTTTATTAATATTACTGATACTTCTATTCTTAGGGATTTTCCTTTGCTTTTAAGAAAGAATGTTGGAAAGATAATTCCCAGTGGGCTTCAGTCCTCTCTGTTCTCTTCTACCCACGGTGTTTAAGAGATTTGAGTCGCCAACAGAAAAGAAGGGAGTGGACACTGATAATGGACAAATAAGATTAGTGACTCCTGAGGGAGGGCAGTAGGAATACTCATTCTTAAAGTGCTCTTTTTTTTGTATATACAACCACTAAAAACGACTGATGTTTTTTCTTGTAGCTCCTTTATTCTGTTCAGACGCCTCTTCATGAGTTTATAACCACCGTTCAGTCTTGGCACGTGGGCTCGCCTGTTCACCGGGGCGTGCTTTCAACTCTGATTGCTGCCTCTGTGGTGGAGATAAGTCACCGACTACGAAAGGTGAATCTACTGATCCTGAAACTACTGTGTCTCTTTTGATTGTATAAGATGCTGTTTTCTACTAGTGGCACATTTTTATGTTTTTTCAGTATTTTTTTAAGAACTCAAAGTTTATGAGTGATCTGCCTCATGGAGGCTGGACTTCACACATTCACAGCTAGTTTGCATTTTAGAGTCATGTAATTGGGAAAATACATTAAGGGTGTTATTCTTGTTTTGTGTGTGTGAGAGGAAGATTGTCGCTGACCTAACGTTTGTGCCAATCGTCCTCTATTTTATGTGGGATGCCACCACAGGGTGGCTCAATGAGTGCTGCTAGGTCCACGCCCGGGTTCTTAACCTGTGAACCTCCGGCCACCAAAGTGGGGCGCACAACTTAACCACTACACCACAGGCCAGCCTCTAGGATGTTGTCCTTCTTGATTAAAGCCAAACTAGTTCTCCTGTTGTGAATGTTTCTTTTTGCTGTCTTTTAGAGGTTTAAGTGAGTTGATACATTTCTTAAGATTCCTCTCTCCTGACAAAGTGAAAGCACTTGTGGTCAGTGGTGAGCAGGATGAAGACTACCTGGGATTGCATTTGGGGATACAGTCAATTACGCCGTATAGTGACATTTTGGTCAGTGACTGCCACATATACGACAGTGGTCCCATAAGATTAGTACCGTAGAGCCTAGCTGTGTAGTAGGCTATACCATCTAGGTTTGTGTAAGGACATGCTATGATATTTGCACGAGATGACATCGCCTAATGATGCATTTCTCAGAATGTGTCCCTGTCATTAAGGACGCATGGCTGTATTCATGTCTCTTTGACTACCTTCTACAGCATAACTCTTTGTTTTCATTTCTAAGCATGGGAATTTAAATTTCTGCTATGAATTTAAACAGATAATTTATTTATCCCTGCTCTATAAAGGACTAGCTCTTTCCCTACCAGTAGCCTACTTTATTTGGTTAAAGATCGACACAGTCATGAGGATAATTCAAGTCAGAACAAAAAGTGCTGTTTCCCCATATGGAATCCTCATGGTATTGAGTGAGGGTGTGGAATAGTGACTTAAGAAGATAGTAAAAGTAATGATGGGTTTTCTCAGAATGAAAAGATGGCATCTGACCTGGAATATCATTGAATTATACAAATGTATATATATATATATAAGTTATATAAATTTTCTATTATAAGATCATGAATATAAAAAAAGTTAACTAAATTCTAAAACATTAATAGAATTTAGTTTTGGAAAGTAATCACTAGATTATACATAGAATAAGAACTAGAACTTATTTACTCCAGTGAGCTGCACAGCTAAGAACTATAAATAAATCAGTTAATGTCCTGTGGTCAAACCTGGCCTGCTATCAGTTTGTAAATGAAGTTCTGTTGGAGCACAGCCACACTGTTCATTTACGTGTTTTCTGTAGTTGCTTTGTGTTACAACAGCACAGCCAACTCTTTGTGACAGACGGTTTTGCCCATAAAGCTGAATATATTTACTATTTTATTTAAATTTTTACTACTTTACAGAAAAAATTTGCTTGCCTCTGTTCTATATCCTTGCTTATTTTCTTTGTCTGCTTGTTCCATCAATAAAAAGTTAGCTCCGTGGAGGGTTTGTCTCTTTTGGTTAGGTCTGTCGATTTTCTTTCTGTGTGTCTGGGAGCTTTGTCACTAGGTGCGTGCGCACTGAAGATTGTCGTCTTGTTGGTGCCCTGCCCATCTTGTTCTTTTGAGAGGTCTCTTGGTCTCTCTTAAGGCTTCCATCATGCTGTCCTTTCTCTGGGGTGTGTCGTGTCTGCGTAGTGTATCTTTTTTCACCTTTTTGCTTTTAACCTGTGTTTCTTATAAACACCACATAGGTGAGTCTTTCTTTTTGTCCAGTCCTATAATCTCTGCCTTCTAGTTGAGGTGCCTAATCCATTTGATTTTCATGAAATTATTGGTATCTTTGGGTTTGAGTTGACCATTTGGACGTTTGTTTTCTCTTAGTCCCTGACTTTTCTTCCTTTCCTGCCTTTTTGATGAATCAAGTGTTTGTACTGTTCTATTATATCTTCTCTGTTGACTGTATGTTATCTGTTGTGTAATTTACTTAATGGTTTCTCTAGGGATTAAGTTAGCGTGTGTTTCACTCACCACAGGCTCCCTGCAGAAATGCTGCTGTGCCCATGCATCGTAAGACTCCTAGAACAATGTTCTTTCCATTAGCGTCTCCTACCCCTTATGCTCCTGTCATAGACTTTGCTTCTGCATATGCCAAAAATCTCAAGATACATTTTTATTTTAACTAGTCAATAATCATCTGTCTTGTTGTGTCAGAAAAGCGTTTACAACATTTAAGATGTAAAGCATTTTAATGAGAAACAGTGCTATATCATAAATAATGATGATTGACTTTAATATCCAAATTGGTGTTATGACTCTGGCAGAGGAAATACAGGAACGTTTAAGTGCTGGCTATAGTCATGCCTGAGTGAAATTTCCCAAGATAGCCAAGAAATAGGCAAAGATAGTGGTGGAAGGATATGAGGGTGTGGTGGGCATATTCACACCTCAGCTATTACAGTGGGGAAAAAAGCCCCTTCCTGGAGCAGGAGTTCTGGACTTAGACTTCACGGAGCCACTTGCACGTGGAGCTCGTTCACTAAGAACAGACGACTTTAAACTCACGAGGTTGGGGCCGACCTTGTGGCCAAGTGGTTAAGTTCATGCGCTCCTCTTCTGCGGCCCAGGGTTTCGCTGGTTTGGATCCTGGGTGCGGACTTGGCACTGCTCATCAGGCCATGTTGAGGCAGCATCCCACATAGCACAGCCAGAGGCACTCACACCCAGAATGTACAAGTACATACTAGGGGGCTTTGGGGAGAAGAAGAAGAAAAGAAGAAGAAGAAGATTGGCGACAGATGTTAGCACAGGTGCCAATCTTTAAAAAAAAAAAAAAACTCGTGAGGTTGATAATAAAGGGCATAGATCAAGTCAGACCCCTTTGTGGATCCAGACCAGCGGTACTGCACTATGGGCAATTCTGCTTCTCCAAAGGACATTGGCAATGTCTGGGAACATTACTGGTTCTCACTTCTGGGATCTGATGGATGGAGGTGAGGGGTGCTTCTCAACACCACACAGTGCACAGGACACCCCACAACGAGGAATATCCAGTGTAAAATGTCAGTAATGCTGAGACTGAGAATACGTGATCTGGACTAATAAGAATAACTAGTTAAATTTGCTTAGTATAAAAACATTATTTACAGACGATGATATCAAGTTAAGGCTATTTGACAAAAGGCTTGTTGAGTGACAGGTCTTTCTTTTTTCTTCTGTCTAACTGAATAAGACACCCCAGTGTATAATAATAGATAAGTCATAATTATTATAGACATTTCACCAGTCAATAAAATTAACTTTCGAGTTTCTGGGAAGCCCTGCTCAAGTGTTGAAGAAAACACAAAGCAGTGTAAAATAAGTAATTAGCCCATTCTCATCCTTGATTTGCCTTTGTTTTCAGGTTTCTGATATAGAAGAGCTAACCCCATCAGAGTGTCTTTCAGACCTGCCACCATTTTCAAGGTGTTTAATAGGAATAATAATAAAATCTCCGAATGTGGTCAGGTAATCATTTTCTCTTTACTGTCCTGGTACTCTTATCGTGGATGTAAGCTCTCAGTAGCTTTTGCTCTATTCCTTTTACTCTCACAATTTTTCAAAGGTGCATTTTTTTCTATGAGAAAAACATTCCATAGAATTTTCTCTCATTTTATCAATGATTAAAAGTGTTTGCATTATACAAAGAGAAATTCTAACTTTCTATAAAATACATTCACCCAAATAGTGTCTGGTTATGCTTATCATACTAAGATTCCGTTAGAGGGAGACGTGTCAAATGTCAACGTGGAGCAGAATACTCCTTACTACGTATACTTTCCAAACACTTGACTAGTTTCATTCAGCGCACAGCTGTCACTCATTTCTCTTGTCTGTGTGTCACTTGAGTAAAATTCTAGAGTTTGTTGGGCGTGTGAAGGACTGATGGGTCACAGAAGGAATAGTGCTGCAGACGTGCTCAGTGAAAGCTCTGAAAAGCAGCTGTGCATTATCTTTCAATAACATAGTAAATCTTTTTTGTGTGCCTCGTGGGTATAAAGATTAGCTTTTTTCAGTTGCCAGAGCGCCCTGTTCTCTTTCTAGCAACATCTGATTTTTTATGTTTCACCTTTAAGATTTGCAGACTCACAGTGAAAGGATGGGAAGAGTTTGTTTAGCCAACTTTCCATGTTACCTGAAAACTAGAATTTGTGGTGGCTGATGAATCTTTGCTATGTTTGTTTTTCTATAAAGTATTAGGATATACACTGTAGAGTAATTTCAGGTGTTTACTATTTCTGCAGGTCATTTTTAGATGAATTAAAGACATGTGTTACTTCGGATGACATTGAAGGCATTGTGTGTCTCACAGCTGTCACGTATATCATTTTGGTGATTAATAAAGGTTGGTTAAATTTCCTCTCATATTGTCTGGGATATTGCTGGATGTGTCTCGCCCAGAACTTTCATGGAATGTTTGGGACCTGAGCTCCTATGTTTGACAAGTCCCCTGCCAGTCAGGCTCTCCCAGTCTTTCCACACTGTGCTCTCCCAGGCTCTGAACACATGCTGTCTGCCTGGCTTTCTCTCCCTAGCTGACCCTGTGCCCTTGTGTACCAGCTGGCTCACGCTTCTTAATCAGTTCGTGTCCACCTTTCCCCCTTCCCCATTGGACCCATTACACATCTCTCTCTGCCTCAGAATTGAATTTCTGGTGATTTGTCATGTATTAGTTATGTTTAAAAATCTGAATTTATTTTTGCGAACGATATGTTTTCATGTTAATATTTAGTATGTCTGCTGTTTTGCATTAGCCTTAACCTTGCCTATTCTGAATATCCCAGCTAGGTGAAAAAGTCCTGGAAAGTAATAGGGGAAATGTGTAAAATGCTTACCTCAGTGTAAAATATAGTAATGTCCTTGCAGGTGGACTACTGTTAATTTCTATTTTGTTTAGTTTTACTAATGTGGAAATTACTTTCTGATGTAACATATGATACATAGAGAGTGCTCCTGTTGAAACAAGCTCTCCTCATAAGGCTGTGTGCGCGTAGTATGTCTGTAGATTTATATGGCTACTTTGTAGCCAGTTTGACCCAGGCTTGGCATCAGAAGAGGCTTCCACTCTGTTCACTCAGAAAAGAGTATCCCCTGAGTTGAGATCTGGAGAATGAGGGACATTCTCCACATGGAGGGTGTGAGCTGTCTCTGAGTTGAGATCTGCAGGATTAGAGGACATTCTCCACACGAAGGATGTGAGGATGGAGGTTAGGGTGCTGATGAGGACCTAGAACTTAATAGGTACTTAAATATTTGCCAAACAGATGATGACTCTGAAATGTAGTTGTCATTTCTGATGGAGGCACAGGTGGGCGTCTGATGCATGGACAGAGCTCATGGGATCCTGTCCATTAGAACTCCACCTCAAGCCTGATGAGTTGCTCTCATAAGCATTCGTTTGATCTTCCCACATCCCTGTAAAGGGATGATTACTATCCCACAGGTCGCTAGGGGGGTTAACTCAAAGGGAAGGGAGGGGAGGCTCAGTCCTTTGAAACTGCCCACATTGATAGCAGTGTGTGTTTGCTTTTGTGTGGTGGTAATAAATCTTTTTTCTATCTTTAATACAATTTTCTCATAGGTAAACATAAGAGTTCAAAAGTGAAGGATGTTGCAGCCACTGTTCACAGAAAACTGAAGACGTTTATGGAAATTACTTTGGAAGAGGATAGCATAGAAAGGTAAAGCATAGATACACTCCAGGTCTGAAGATCTGGAAACTTAGGTATACTTGAGGTCATGTTTTCATTGCTGCTCCTACAGCCAGGGGATTGTGAGGACAGAAACGTTTCTGTTGGCAGAACTCCTGGAGCATATGTTTAATTTACTTTCCTAATTCTGTCTGCAAAGCAAAACTATCATTTGCAAAATTCTGGACTACAAAAGTAACAGCATACAAACTTATATGGCTTTAAAAGTAGATAGGTTAGTGGCTGGCCCCATGGCTGAGTGGTTAAGTTCACGCGCTTCGCTGCAGGTGGCCCAGTGTTTCGTTGGTTCAAATCCTGGGCACGGACATGGCACTGCTCATCAAGCCACACTGAGGCAGCATCCCACATGCCACAACTAGAAGGACCCACAGTGAAGACTATGCAACTGTGTACCTGGGGGCTTTGGGGAGAAAAAGGAAAAAAATAAAATGTTTAAAAAAAAAAGTAGACAGGTTATCTTTGGTGGTTCCCTGGGCATTCCTAAGAGAAATTACCCAGTCCACAAGTGTCCACACTGGGGATGGGAAGGTCCTACAGAGACTGAATAAACATGTATCATTTCTTCCTTTCTGGGCCATTGCTGCCACAGGGACTGCTGCTCAGGAATGTGTTCTTTGGGCTGCTTTCTAACCGAGTGTTTTTGCTGTTATATACTGTTTTTGACAGGCTGTACAGTTTTTTTTTTTCTGCTTTTTCTCCCCAAATTCCCCTAGTACATAGTTGTATATTTTAGTTGTGGGTCCTTCTAGTTGTCACATGTGGGACACCGCCTCAGCATGGCCTGATGAGCGGTGCCATGTCTGTGCCCAGGATCTGAACTGGCGAAACCCCGGGCTGTCGAAGCAGAGCACACGAACTTAACCACTCGGCCATGGGGCTGGCCCCAGGCTGTACAATTTTATGTAGACTCTGTTATGAATTGTGTTTGACTCTCAGACCAGACACAAAAGCAGTGTTTTTTCCTGCTATTTGGTGAACGTCATAAGGTTAAGTGTTACAGAGATCTGAACTAGGTCATCAGTGTTTTCTATGCCTGGGAAACTAGCTACTTTCCATAGCCACTCTCTCCTTTGGAGAAAGGCTTTCAAAATCCTAAATTGCTAACTTATGAATAAAGACAGTTTTGTCTCTTTCTTCTCAGTCTAGTACCTTTTCTTTCCTTTTCTTGTCTTACTGCATTAGCTAGTACTTCTAGTACTTTTCACGCTGAAAAGGAGCAGTGAGAGAGGACATCCTTGCCTTGTTCCTGATCTTAGTGGGAAAGCCTCTACTTTCTCATCAATAAGTATGACATTAGTTAGCTGTAGATTTTTTGTGGCTATTCTTTATCAAGTTGATGAGTTCTCCTCTATTCCTAGTTTAGTGGGAGTTTTCATTAGGAAAGGACACTGGATTTTATCAAAAGCTTTTTCTGAATCTATTATCATCATCATGTGATTTTTCTTTTATCGTCTGTTGATGTGATGGATTACCTTAATTGATTTCCAGATGTTAAACCAGCTTTGCAAACCTTTACATAGTTAACCCCACTTGATCTTGGTGTATTATTTTTTATACATTGTTGGATTTGATTTGCTAATATTTTGTTGAGTATTTTTGCATCTGTGCTCATGAGAGGGATTGGTCTGTAGTTTTCTTGTAACATCTTTGTCTGGCTTTAGTATTAGGGAAATGCTGGCATCATAGAATAAGTTTGGAAGTATTTCCTCTTGCTTCTGTCTTATGGAAGAGATTGTAGAGAATTGGTATCACTTCTTCCTTAAATATTTGGTAGAATTTACCAGTGAAACCATCTGGATCTACTGCTTTCTGCTTTGGAAGATTATTAATTATTGATTCAATTTTTTAATAGATATAGGCTTATTCAGGTTGTCTGTTATTTCTTTTTCCATCAGTTTTGGCAGATTGTGCCTTTCAAGGATTTGGTCCATCTCATCTAGGTTATCAAATTTGGCATAGAGTTGTTCATAATATTCCTTGATTATCCTCTCTCTCTCTCTCTCTCTTTTTTTGCTGAGGAAGATTAGCCCTGAGCTAACATCCATGCCCATCTTCCTCTACTTTATATGTGGGACACATGCCACAGCATGGCTTGATAAGTGGTGCTTAGGTCCACACCCGGGATCTGACCCAGCAAACCCCGGGCCACTGAAGTGGAATGTGTGAACTTAACTGCTGCATCACCAGGTTGGAACCCCCTTCTTGAGTATCCTTTTAATGTCCCTGGAATCTGCAGTGATGTCCCTGTTCTCATTTTTCATATTAGTAATTTACGTCTTCTCTCTTTTTTCTTAGCCTGGCTAGAGGCTTATTGATTTTATGGATCTTTTCAAAGAACTAGCTTTTGGTTTCATTGATTTTCTATGTTGATTTCCTGTTTTCAATTTTCTTGATTTCTGCTCTGGTTTTTATTCTTTCTTGTTTTTTGCCTGCTTTGGATTTAACTTGCTCTTCTTTTTCTAGTTTCCTAAGGTGAAAGCTTAGATTATTGATTTTAGATCTTTCTTCTTTTCTAATATATTCATTCAGTGCTATAAATTATCCTCGTAGCACTGCTTTTGCTGTATTCCACAAGTTTTGGTAAGTTGTGTTTTCATTTTCATTTAGTTAAAAGTCTTTTAAAATTTTTCTTGAGATTTCTTCTTTGACCCATGTATTATTTAGAAGTGTTCTGTTTAATCTCCACTTACTTGAGGATTTTCTGGTTGTTTCTACTGTTGATTTCTAGTTCAATTCTGTTGTGGTCTGAAAACAGACATTGTATGATTTCTATTCTTTTGAACTTGTTAAGGTGTGTTTTATAGCCCAGAATGTGATCTGTCTTGGGAATTGTCCTATGTGAGCTTGAAAAGAATATGTATTTTACTGTTGTTGGGTGAAGTAGTCTATCCATGTCACAGGTGTCTAGTTGATTGATGGTGTTGTTGAGTTCAACGATGTTTTTACTGATTTTCCGCCTGCTGGATCTGTCCATTTCTGATAGAGGTTTTGCTTTACATACTTTTTGATCCTGATATTAGGTGCATGTGAATTTAGACCTGCTATATCTTCTTGATGACTTGACCCTCGTTTTTCTTTTTAAACATTGGCACCTGAGCTAACAACTGTTGCCAATCTTTTTTTTTCCCCTCTGCTTTTTCTCCTCCAAATCCCCCCAGTACATAGTTGTATATTCTAGTTGCGGGTCCTTCTAGTTGTGGCATGTGGGACTGCTGCCTCAGCGTGGCCTGACGAGCAGTGCCATGTCCACACCCAGGATATGAACCAGTGAAACCCTGAGCCGCCAAAGCAGAGTGCACGAACTTAACCACTCGGCCACAGGGCCGGCCCCTGACCCTCTTATTTTTATGAAGGATCCCTCTGTATCTCTAGCAATGCTCTTCCTCATGAAGTCCATTTTGTCAAGTGTTAAGACAGCTGCATCAGCCTCCTTTGGTGAGCATTTCCTGAGTGTTGGCAGCATTCTAGCCAGGAGGCAGCACCCACACAGTGAGTCGGACAGGGAAAGCTCAGTGTCAAGAAATCTTATCAGGGCATTAGTGTAACAGATTATTGGCTGGTGAGGGTTAAAGGGAACTCTAAAGCATAGAGGAGCCACAGACATGAGGAGCAGCCCACACCAGGACTGAGATGTGGCTCCCAGGATGGAGAAGTCCTGAGGCCTTCTAGTGAGACTCACTGGATGTCCAGTTCCAGGGGGCAGGGATTCCTGTTCACGGGGAGGTGCTGGGGGAGCTGCCAGGACCAAAGCTGGAGCCCTCTCCCGGGTCCTGCAAGCTTCCTTGTGCTGCTCAGGTCAGAGCGGCTGGCTGAACAGCCACCCCAGGGAGCCTGGTGCTCTGCAGGGCTGGAACTGAGAAGAGAAAGCCTCCCCCTTCCCCTGTGCCCTCCAGCGCCCCCTGCCTCCAGTGCTGTGCTTGGCGCTGTGCCTGGATGATGGCACTAGAGCAGGGGATTCTGGTGTCCTTGGTGGTAAGTAAAGGAAATGCATTCAATTATGTACTTTAGTCTAAAAACTATCGAATATTTACCATGTGGTTTTAGTAAGGTCAGGTTTGCACTTGTGTATTTGAAGGAAGACCCCAACAGACTCTAGGTTTTATGAACTTGTTTTATTTCTAGGTGTGTGGGGACGAGGGAAGTGGTCTTCTGATTTGGAGGAAGCTGAGGAGCATTTGTATATTTCAGAAAACACATGGCGTTTAAATATTTTTACCAGACACAAATATTAAATAAGGCAATCAGAATTACAAACTATATAAATGATCAGTTGTTTTCATAAGACGTGGTAACAATCTCAGAAGTCCAAGCATTTTACAAGATTTCTTTGTTAGAAATAACGTTGCAAGGACGATGTTTTGTGTGTAGAATGGTACTGTTCTGAAGATGTAAGGAAAGAGGAACATTTGCTCCTGGCTAGAAATTTCTTTCATTTCCACTTGCACAGAGTTTTAAGTGAGTACTTGAATTCTGTTAGTTACATTGAGAGAAAAAAGGCCTTAGAAGTTCAAAACTTACACTATGGAGAAGAAAAGGATATTAACAGAATTAAACACAGGGCATGTAATATTTTGTTTCTTCGTTTTTTCTACAACTATATGTCATCTTCTCTGCTAAGCTTATGCACAGATAGTAAAAAGAGTTCTTCCCTTTACAGAGGAAATATCCTAAAAAAGTAGATAGGTGGGGGCTGTGAAACACTGGACATAGAAAAGCCAGTGTCAAAAAAAAAATCAGTCTAAAAAATTGAAACTTAAAAAAGAATCAATCTAATGGAAGATAAACAATTAGGATTTAGGACTGTTTTAAAATATGATTGCTTTAATGTTGGAGTAGCGACATTAAGGCAAGTCAACATCTTTAAGACTCGGAGAGCCCCTTGGTCCAATTAACATTTTAGACAATGGGGCATTAATTTAGAAGTGAACGTTTTCTTAACATATACACTAGTTTTCTCTCCAGCAAGGTTAGTATTTTCTTAACTGGTCTGTTGGGAGCTAAGTAAAAAATGCTTCTCATGCACTTTAATTGTCTCGCCCAGTAGAGCATACTGTAAATTGGACATATTTTCTCAGAAGCAACAGTATGCATTTGCCAATGGACTGGTGCATTTAACTGTCAAGTAGGTTATATTTATTACTTTCATAAATAATTTGAAAAGAGCAATAAATTTGTAATTAGAGATTAGAGTAGCATAAGTATTCTTAAGGTTTGTGTTATATCATTAATTTTTCCCACTATGTAAATGAATTGTAATCATATTACAAGCCAATTACTTACCAATATTAATTATGCCTATATACTGTCAATTAGATGGTGTTATGTGCAGTCTCCAACATCAAACGTTGCTATCAGACCTTGAAGGAAAGAGTGCTCCCTGAAAAGTGACCTCTTTTTTGTTATGAAGTATTGATAAATAATATCATTTTATTCTGCTGTATAGAATTTTAATACTCTTTTTTAAAAAATAATTTGAGGCTGGATGCTTGTTATAGCTCATTTTGAAGCACACTTCTATCATCATCAACACTTAGCAGACCTTGATGTGGATAATTAAAAGCTATACATAAATAAAACCACTCTTTAATAAAAACATACATTGTTTATCTTACTGATTCTCAGAAAATTGATTTTGTCTGCCTCTCCCGTGGCCATGGTTGTGTTGGATGTAAACACAGCTTCCGCAGGCAGTAGGGGCTGAGGATGGATAGGGTTGTGAAGACTCATGTGTGTTGAAAGACTTTTAGAGCTCAGGTGGGCAAACATGTCACCCGTTTCAGATGTCTTGTCACACACAAGGAGAACCCTGGCCCAGGGGATTTAATTTGTCTAAGGTTTGCCACTATCCCTTCAGCTCTAAAATTCTGCATTTCCTTCATTTTGTCCTTGAATAGTTCTTACTTCTCTGGTCTACATAGTGTATTCAACCCTTTCCCCGGGCAATGGGAGAATGAATAAAGTATGGTGGAATATGGTTTTAGTATCCAAGGCCTTTAGGGGAGTCAGAAGACGGGCAGCCTGGGTTTGAACCTAAACTCCTCCTTTATCACAGTGTGGTCTTGGGCAAGTTGCTTCACCACTCTCAGCCTCGGTTACCTTGCCTGTGAAAGGAGAACATACAGCGCCCAGTGCGCCAGCACGATGCTGGGTTCAGAGGTGACAATAAATAGTTATCATTGTAGTTAGTCTAGACTTAGGTCAGTGTGAGCAGCTGATTATTCTATAGTTAATAGGAACTTTTGTCAAGGTAACCTAACATTTTTCTCTTAAGTATTTTTAAATTCATGCTCACTGAAAGAGACAATATTTTTGAGTAATTAAAAATAAATTATAGATTCTGGAGTGTTGGTGACTTAATGTGTTCTGTGTGTGTCTCTCTCTCAACTCCTGGGGTTTGATAGAGAGCCCTTTCTTCCTTCTAGCCACCAGGGAGCTTGGGTCTGGCTGACACCTTGACCCACAGAGATCCAGAGATACGGGCCCTCATGAGAGTTCTTAAAGAGCTGAGCCGGGTGGGGTGATCTCTTTTCTGTCACTGAGGCTGAAGAGATGAAGGCACATTGGGAGTCTCCTGTTGTTTCTTTTAGATAGAGATGCCCCACTTCCTGCTGCGATGGTGGTCTCCACAGGTCTTGTGCCTCTCATTGTCCACCATCTCTGCATCCACCTGGGATGTCTATAGGACACAGACTAACCACACACGTAGGGTGGCCCAACAGTTGGAGGAAACAATCAGAACAGCCATTAATAAAGTAACAGTGATGGGCCAGCCAGACAATTAAGAATAAAAGTCTTTAAAGAAAAAAATCAATTTTAGCCCCAGAAGGATGATCTAGAACTAAAACCCTTGAATTAAAATGTCACCAATACACTGGAGTGATGTCACTCTTGGGACTCAGATTCCAGAGGATCTGAAAGATCAAGTTGGAGGAACGTCTCAGAACACAGAACAGATACTAATGAAGAGAAGTCATGGGGCTAAAGACAGTCTTGGTGGAATAGACCCAAAAGAAGCAGTGATTTAACAAATGACAGGAGAGAATTTCCTGGAGCTGAAGAAATATGTAATTTAAAAAATTATTATTATTATTATTTTCACTAAATTCTGGATGGGATTAATGGAAAAAATCACACCTAAGGAAGTCAAAAAATTCATGAATTCCAGGGATAAGGAGAAAAATCTTAAAGTTTGTCTAGATTTGTGCTGGCTACGACTGTGGCTGCTTGTCACATGTGGAAATTGAACACATGAAACATGGTGAGTCTGAACTGAGATTGGCCTAAGTATAAACTACACACCAGGTTCTGAAGATAGTATGAAAAAAAGGTAAAATATGTCAGTAATATTTTTTTTTTGCTGGGAAAGATTTACCCTGAAGTAACCTCTGTTGCCAATCTTCCTTTTTCTTTTTCCTCCCCAAAGCCTCAGTACATAGTTGTGTATTCTAGTTGCAGGTCCTTCTAGTTCTTCTCTGTGAGCCGCTGCCACAGCGTGGCTACTGACAGTGGTGTGGTTCCGTGCCGGGAACTGAGCCCGGGCTGCCAAAGTGGAACACACTGAACTTTAACCACCAGGCCATCAGTGCTGGCTCAGTAATATTTTTATATTGATCACAAGTTGACGTGTGTTGAGTATGTTGCACTAAATAAAATTTATTAAGATGAATTTCACCTGATTATTTTAATTGCTTTTAATGTGGCTACTAGAAAGTTTAAAGTTACACATGTGCTTGTGTTGATGCTAGACAGGGCTGTTCTAGACTGTGTGATTGGTTAGTTTCCACGAGGAGCAGGACATGGGCAGACACTAGTGTCTGTAACCTTCTCTAGGCTGAAGGGTGTCAGTCGAGTTGAGACATTGTTTGGGATGAAGATTGGTATTTGTGTCTAGGCAGGAATTCAGAGGTTAGCTGGTCCACTCGCCATCTGAGGGAGCAGGGCGACTGTGCCCTTGTAAATACGTCTGTTTGTCTTAGTGGTGATGTACTACCTGGTGCATGTGAGAGCTGCCCAGTGAGGGCTCTTCACATAAAGGAGGCCCCTGCAAGGGAGTTGGGGTGGGGTCCTAGAAAGGAAAGCACTGAGTGGGCTCCGCCCAAACTCTGCTCCCTCCTCCTCCGGGGGAGGAGCTGGTCTCACCTGGGACAAGTGTGCGCAGGAGGGGGCGGGACAGTGGAAGTGTCTGAAGGTTTCTGGTGGTTGAGGTGGTGGGAATAAGCGTCATTGTAACAGCACATCCTGGGGTAAGTAGTTCTCATTTATGTTGTGTTGTTATGTGGGAGGGAAACAAGCTCTTGATTATGAGTGCTGCAAAGGGAGGTGCGTGTGTCCTATTTGTGAGTCTGCCGTGTATCCAAGCAGCAGTTTAGATCCTCAGAAATGAGAGTCCTTTTGAGTAAAAATGAGTCCACCCATAGGAAACACAGCCAGGGGAGCATGTGTTATTGAACTGTAGTGTTTTATTTACGCGCAGAGTTCCTTGGGGACCCCAGTGGACTGTTGCTGGCTGTGGGGACAGTGATGACGGCCCCACTACTGATGGCTTTGTCCGTGTGCCGTGGATTGTAATGAGATGACCAGTGATAGGGATTCTTACTCCATTTGACATATGAGAAGCAATTAGTGAAACAGTTACTGATTATTTCAACTTTCTTTTTAAGTGTATTTGGTTGCAAACCATTTTTAGATTTATTTCATGAAAATGTGCATTTGGGTAATTTTGTCACTTGTTTCTGTAGCTAATTATTTCTTTTTTTGAATTTCAGATTTCTCTATGAGTCGTCATCAAGAACTTTGGGAGCACTTTTGAATTCATAGCCAAGCCAACATCTTTGGTCATGTAAAAATAGAGAAAAAGGACTTACAGAAAAATGAAACGAGTGTGTATTTTTCTAGTGTTTTTAATGTTAATAACCCATATAGCAGAGAAGGGGTGGGATTTATTTGGGAGGGTCTGAGTAGAAAACTCAGAGGTTCTTAGAGTTTTGCCCAGAGCCTGCATAAATAATATATTTACTGTAAAGGACTCTAGGTATCAAGAGTGCAGAACCCTATGGTGCGAAGAAAAAAAGACACTTTTCTAGCAAACCTGGTTGTTTTAAAAAGGACTTTTATATATATAACATTGCTTGCAAACTATGAGTAATAAAGCAGACAACATCCATTTGTGTACTTTATTTAAAAATATTAGTATGAGTTGTCCCCCTAGGGACAAGGGTTGAGTTCTCGGGCAATCCTGTCTTTCTGCCCGGAAGAGAAGGTGCTAAAGCAGAGGGGATGGCTGTGCTGGGCGGAGGGAGAGGTGCCACGCGCAGGGTCCTGCAGCGGTCTCCTCTTCTGGTCTAGGTGCTGCTTCACTGGATGTTGAGATGGGCCCCATGGCTGTAAACAGGAGGAATGCAGAACTGAGTCATTCAGCCTGAAGCTGAGCCACCACTATTTTATTTTTTCTTTACGAGAGCAGTTACAGTGCTGACGGAGGACTGGCCCCAGGCCTCCTAGATACATCGTCTGTGACCCCATCTCTTCTGTCCCAGGTTACCAGGTGGTCTGCATGTTCTTATCCCTGTCAGCCACAAGTCCTAAGTCATGGCCAGTCAGCATCCTGTGGCCTGTTAGGCCACCTTATGACAGATGGGAAGTGAGTGCTGCTTCAATCACAAGCTCATTCTGTCCCCAGCCCCCAAGCGAAAAAGTAAGAAGTACCAATTTTTCATTGCCTCTGTTTCTCTAAGGTACAGAAAGGGGCCACTTACTGCAGTTATGAGCAGTTAGGGTAAGGTTTTACTGAGGGATAATCTGAGGAATTGGGAGGTGGGGGTTGCTTGTTTTAGGCAATCTTTGAACATATGACTTTCCAGAGATCTTTGCTAACTCAGCTGTATTCTGGATTGGTGAGTGTAATTTTTTTTCTTTTTTGCCCTTGTCCTTGTTTGATTTAGTATCAAGAATTGTCAAGCCTCATAAAATGAACTAAGGAGTGTTCTATGTTTTTATATTCCTGGAAGAATTTGTGTAAGATTAGAAATAGTTCCTTGGATTTGTTGTAACATTAACTGTAAAATTATCTGAGCTTGGTATTTTCTTTGTGGGAAGAATTTAATTAGTTTTTTACATTTAGATACGAGTTTTCGGAGTAGTCAAGTTTTCTCTTTTATCTTGTGTCAGTCTTGATGGTTGAACTAATCCAATTTGTGAAAAAGTACAATTCAGTTTTTCATGGGGCAAAATAGTTTGTGAATCTCCTCTAGGCATACACCCCAGAGAGACTCCTGTGGACGTGCATGAGGAGACTCGAGGAAGGACACTCGGCATCAGTGTTTGCCACAGCAGAGTGGAAACAGTCACATTCCCTTCAGTGGGAGAGTGGGCAAGGCAGCTGGGGCAGCCACAGCTCCCACTTCCCTGGGGATGACAGGGCGAGGTGGGCGGTCACCTCAGGAGCATGATGTTGAGGAAAAGAGTTTAGTCAGGATAATATTTTATGATTCTGTTTATGTAAAGTTCAAAAACATGCAAAACTGAACACTGTATTGCTTATGCTCACGTGTGATAATATGTCAATGTTTAACAAGGAAAAGATAAAACAAAATCCAGACTGCTGTTTATGGGAGGGCAGGATGGGGGAGCATGCAGGATTCTTCAAAAGTAATGGTAGAAATCTGTTATTTAAACTGGAAATAGATATTTGAATGTTCATTTTACTGTTATTCTCTCTACCTTACGCATGTTATAAATATTCTCTTGTATTCAATAATTTAATCAATTCAGTGTGAGGGAAAGAGAGAAAACATATGCAACTTTGGCAAAGGATGTGTTATCAACATGGAGTGCTGGGACACATGACTTAGTACCCTGGCAAGGACCCCGGGTTGCAGTGTGAACACTCCACGAGGCCAGCTCCTAGCAGCATGGAAGAAGTGATGGCCACACAAAGTGAAGATGCCAGAATTGTTGTGCAGACCATGGAAGGGGGCTCGGAGAGGTAGGTGAGCTGGTGTGGACACTACCTAAGGCCAGAAAAGCCATGCAGGGCTGTGTTCCACAGGAGGAGCACCATCCACTGAACCCAGAATTCTGCCCTGGGGACAGGCTACCAGCATCACCAAGGAGGGCAGGGGTGGGCTCTGCAGCTGATGGTACCGCAGGCCGTTACAGAACTGCGCTCTCTTGACAGTCATGGGATTACAGGACCCTGAACAACAGGACCAACTGGTGGCAAGTGAACATCAGATGAGTGGATGCAATGATCATAAAGACGGCACAGCAAGAGGGTTTTGTTCCTGTCCAGGAGAATCATGGAGAGGATCCTGGAATGTAGCGTTTCATAATAGATGGGCAATGAGGGCCCTGGCCAGTCTGTACCATCAAAAGAAGTCAAAGATGATGGCTGGTGGCCTCAGGGAAGTGGCCCCAGTAAGAAGTCACAATCCTTTGTCCAAGTTCCAGACCTGAGCCATGAGTAACCCAGAGGCCAGGTCCCCAAAAGGAAGGAAGTGTACCCACCTGTCTCTTCCCCAGATGGCCTGTGGCCGCAGATCCTGGGGCCCTGGGAAAAGGTGATTCCAAAACATTGTGAAGACTGGGTGTGAACTGACAAGGATACCTGTCCCCGTGAGTGTGGGGCAGTGTCTGGGCTCCAGTAAGACATGAGCCCAGCCCATTGGCCTGTGGAGTCAGAGCTGTGCAGAAGGCCCCACAGAAGCCTCAGAGACAGCTCTGCCCCCGCCAAACCAGCAAGTGAAGCACAACATCACATCAAAGAGGAGTGGTGGGAGCGTGTCGCCTGGAAAGGCCTGCGGATAAAGGTGGGCCATTGTGTCTCCCTTTAGCTCTCCGCTCAGCCTCTGCAAAGCCAGACAGAACCTGGAGGGTGAGAGCGAGTGCCGCCATCTTGACCAAACAGCAGCAGCCCAGCATGGCCTCAGACCCAGAGCATGTGATCACTCACTGGACAAACACCCTTCCTGTCCACATTTGGAACAGTCCACATTCACACGAAATGGACAAAAATAGACATTAACAGTTTTGCCCAAGCCCATATTACTCTCCCACCCTCTCACTCCAAAGAGGTCCTGCCATCTGGACATCCTCCCAGAGGCTGCCCTGTCCCTGATGCCAGAACATCACTCTGAACTGGGCCATGTGAGCAAGAAGTGGCTGGACACGGGGGTCTTGAAGTGATGTGTGCTCTAGGGGTGGGAGGTAAGCCGTGGGTCAGGACTTGCCATGCTGTGCCATCATTAGTACACATTGGTCTGGGTCTGGATTTCTCGTGGCCAGTGTTGGATGAGGAAATGGCCTGAGCTAGTGCCATGGATGGTCAGCCTGGTAGGTGGGTACAGGAAAATAATGGACAGGGCAGCACTTCTGCTCCTCTGCCCCCTCCCCCCCAGTGGCTAGTCCTGGAAGCCAGTGGGGAGGGAGCCTTCTATGGATGCAGGTTCCACTGGCACTCCTGGCTATCCACATTCAGTACACACTGCATCCCCAGGGGCTGCCAGCCTGCAGCAGCCAGTGAAATGCACCACTGCAGGACCAGTCCAGGTGGTGGTCCATGCAGATGGGTGCCCTGCTCAGGTGCAGTGCACGCTGTAACACAAAGACCTCCAATGGAGCTGTGTCTCCAGGGGCAGAGCTGAAAGGTGGCCAGCTGGACAGGGGCCTGGAAGGAGAAGTATTGGAAGCTTGGGCACAAGCAAGTCTGGTGTAGAGGTGCCTGCATGGAAATGTGGAAGTCTTCAGACCACCTGTTAAAATCCAACAGAAAACCCTTGTACCACATGATACAGCAGGAAGTCTTAGCACATGTCAACACTCAGCAGAAAAGCCTCCTCCAGGGACAAGGCACCAAACATGCAAGGAAGGCATGACGTGACCGCCTCACTCATCAGCCACCCAGTGCTGGCTTGGGGGTGTGAACAAGCAGTCACGGGGGCAGGGAAGGGGACTACACATAGGCCAACACCAGGACCTGCCACTTACCGAGGCCAGTCTAGCTGCTGCCATACCCAGTGGCCCCCTGCCAGCCTTAGACACCAAGGCGCAGCCCTTCTTATGGGACCACCCGTTGAGACCAGTCAGCCCTTTGCTAATTGCAGATCTGTGAGGAAGTGTGACTCTTCTTTAAAAACTGCCCTAACACAAAACATTTACACTATAAATTGTTTCTAAGGTGAGAATTCTTTCTCTAGGTAACCCTCAGAATTTAATAATGAAAAAACTGAAAAAGTGGCCACACTACCGTGCTTATTTTGAAAATATTCAACATAAAACATAACGATAGCTCTCTTAGGACCACTGGTAGCTAACTCTGGTGCCGTTGTTCTTTGAAAGGGGACTGGTGACAGTGCAGATGCCTGGTTACCTTCTATCTGATTCAGCAGAGAAAGCACAGCGTCGGTCTTGGGCAACGGCTGTGCTAAGGTTTAAAGCAGGGGACACTTCAGGCGAGCTCCCAACTGGGCTGAAGGCCTCCCGTTCCCAGTGCTCCTGCAGCAGAGCGGGACCGTGAGTAATGGGGTTGGGGTTCAGCTCACCCCGATCCCACATCTGAGTACTTCTCATGTGCTTCTGTGGGTTTTCTGACACCCTTTATAGCTAACTCGTGACTGAACCATTCTTCTTTGTGAAAACAAAGGATATTTCTGAGAAATGATTAATTTCAGCAGATGTGTCTTAACTCTGCTGCTAAGCTGTTACATTATCTGGCTCTTCTGTCATGCTGCAGCATGTGTGTGTGTTTCCAGTAGGAGGAAATTTCCTGGTTTACATTTCTCTATACTCCCTGGCACCAGGGAGCCCTGTGTCCCTTGGGTATGTCTCTTCAGCCTCTGTCACGTGTGACACACGCAGCTGTTTCTGTGAGTGACACTGAGCATGGAATAAATGTGAATAAGCAGCCCAAATGAGTTTGAGAAACTCATGCAGAATGGTTTCCCTGTCACACTTTAAGTTAGGGTCTCCTCAGCCTTGACTAGGCTATTTTGGATGTGAATCTCCTGTCTCCCAGACAAATGAGCATGGCGGGAAGATGCATCAGAAGGGCAGACACAAGTCAGCGTTCCAATTCTTGCATACAAATCAACTTGTAGACTTCCAGTGGGGCGGAGGAGGTGGGAGAGTGGGGGAAAGGTTGAAGACAAGTTATGGCCAGTAGAACATCCATTGACCAACAGAGGACTCCCTGCACAGCACACCAGAACGCCTGAGGGATCCATACATCAGTAAAACTGAAGGTGGGTGGACGGGACCTCCTGGAGGCAGTGGGATCAGGAAGCAAGGGTGGTAACTCCTGAGACTGGAGGTTCTGGGAACTGCAGTGATACCTCTGACCAGACACCCCAGGAACTATGGTAGGGCCCACCAATGGAGGCCCCAGGAATCCAGGCAGCCCATGCTCCCAGAGGCACCAGGAATCACTGGGCCTGTGACTGGAGACTCCAGGAACTGCAAAAATACCTGTGACCCAGCCGCCTTCCCCTCCCCCAGCAGTGGCACCTCTGACATGAGCCCTTCTAGCAGCTGGGGCTGCAATCAAGACCCTGGTACCCCCGGCAGCAGCAGTGGTCCCCATGACCTTAGATTCCAGGAATTGGCCGAGTGCCTGAGATGAGAGCCTGTAGGAGATGCAGTGCAGTCGTGGCTCAGCTCCTACTCCTCCTCCTGCAGTGGCAGGTGGTGCCTGTGACCTGAGGCTTCAGGAGCTGCAGCATTGCCCATGACCCAGCCCCCAGCAGCAGCACCCCTGACACTGACCCTACTGGCAGCAGGGGCTGCATACAAGACCCCGGGTCCCCAGCAGTGGTGACATTGCCAGCACCCCCAGATAAGTTGAGAGCAGCAGTGCAGGCAGCACATGTGGCAGCAGCACCTGAGCCTGTGGAGAGCACTGTGGAGAGCCAGGTAACCACAACAGTGGAGCCCATGACCCTGGTCCCCCAGCTGCAAAGGCACCCACATCTTTGGACCCCCTACCTGTAGCAGCAGCAGCTGCAGACACAATAAAGCCAGATGTAGTGGAGGTGCCTGTGACCCTTGCACCCACCCCACTCTTCCCCTCCCCACTGCTGCAGTAGGGGAACACACAACCCAGGTCACCAGCCTGGTGACACCTGCAACTAGGAGTGACATTGTAAGCAGCAAGGCACCAGCAACCTCAGAGGCACAGGCAGCACAAGGAGGACACTGATGACACCTCTGGCAGAGGCTGTGGAGGGTGGAAAGCACAGGCTCTCAAATACAAGCAGAAGCAGCTCAGAACAACAGTAAACGATGTCTTACCCAAATAGGAGAGGGGTTTGCCACTACAAGTGCACTGGCAGAGGAATAACTCAAGCACCATGAAGATCTACAGGGACACAGCAGACCAGAAAGAAAATGACCACCCTCAAGAAACTACACTTGAAGTCACAGAAGATTACAATCTGACAGAATTCACAAGAGCTGTCATGAAGAAACTCAACAAGTTATAAGAAGACTCAGAAGACAGTTCAATGAGCTCAGGAGTAAAATTAATGAACAGCAGGAGCACTTCACCAAAGAGATTGAAACTAAAAAACGGGGGTCAGCCCCATGGCCGAGTGGTTAA